CGACCTTCTACAATTTGCATGGAACTAGACATAATTGTTTGTTTTAAGCAATCATTCACATTTTTGCAGACAATCGACCATTTAGGATCTTGTGATTTTGTTACAAAGTGGTGTCTTTGAAATTTTTCAATAAATTGTAGCCAGAAACTCTGAGTGAACGCTCACGAATCATCAAATCTCTGATTATGACTCTCTGAAGGTGGAATTGATAGATTTTATGTGTCAAGCACATACTTGTCAACCTCTTCTTTTGGCTTACAAGCATAACATATCATTATAGGGGAAATGGATGTAATGTCGGCCTAAATGCCCCTAATTTTGGTCCATACATAAATTCAGCAATAGACTAAATTTTCAATACTGACCAAATATATCTATTAGCACCGTCCCAATGACGCGTTCATCTAGATACAATTGATAAATAGCAGGTTTTTAGCGATGGGCCCAATCTTAGATCCATAGGCCAACATAAGAGCCATTTCCCCTATCATCCAAATGATTCCATAATTCCGAAAAATATTTTTTACACCGAAGTGAGTGGTATATGTTGGATAAACTCGGAAAACCGGACAGCCTAAAGCGGGTTTTCTCTTTGCAAAATGACCATGACTTTGATATTTTGATCTCACCTGTTAATCGGATGACGTTTCGCTAAAGGCTTGGCAAGATGCACGACGTACGACAGGTTAGATAAATATGTTGTACAGACCCGAGTAACGTTTTATACCAAATTGGTAACACCATAGAGGTAACTCTAGAGGGCTACAAAATGGTGAGTTGACAACCTGGAAGGAGCAGAATACCTAGCCCTGGTCCTCACAAGTCCCTACTTCACGCCTCCTCGAGTCATATGATAACAAAAGACTACCAGCTGAAACATGGACACAGCTGGGTGGCGTAGCCTGGGCAATGTTGCCAGTTCGGCAATAGCAAAGTGAAGAGGTGCGACGCGAACACTGGCGTGGTAACCATAGTACGGTGATAGAGGAAATGCTTCACCAAACCTGAGCGTCTGTTCATCATGGAGGTGCGTCTCCAAGCGGCATATGTTCTCCATGTTAGGAGCGGCTGATCACCGTGCTAGTGCCAGCGTGGGACTCTAAACAGAAATGTGCACGATGGTCCCCCGGCGAGACAGGGGTTGGGGCAGGCCCAAAAAGCCGCCCTGAAAAAAAAAACAAAGTTGCAAACACTGAAGAAAGAAATACGGATCGGAACAATCGGCACAGACCTACGCGACGAAATAAGGACTACGATTGGAAACTCGGAACATGGAACTGCAAATCGCTCGGCTTCCCGGGTTGCGATAGGTTAATCTATGACGAACTTCAACCACGCAACTTCGAAGTCGTAGCACTGCAGGAACTTTGCTGGACGGGACAAAAGGTATGGAAAAGCGGGCATCGAGCGGCTACTTTCTATCAGAGCTGTGGCACCACCAACGAGCTGGGAACCGGCTTTGTAGTGCTGGGTAAGATGCGCCAACGCATGATTGGTTGGCAGCCGTGCAAGTTGAGGATTACGGGCCGTTTCTTCAACTACAGTATCATCAACGTGCACTGCCCACACGAGGGAGACCCGACGACGAGAAAGAAGCGTTCTATGCACAGCTGGAGCAGGTGTATGACGGCTGTTCGCAACGGGACGTCAAAATCGTCATCGGCGACATGAACGCTCAGGTAGGACGGGAGGCAATGTATAGACCGGCAATCGGGCCAAACAGCCTGCATGCCGTATCGAACGACAACGGCCAACGATCGGTAAACTTTGCAGCCTCTCGGGTTTGGTAGTTCGAAGTACCTTCTTCCCCCGCAAGGATATCCACAAAGCCACCTGAAGATCACCTGACCAACACACAGAAAACCAAATCGATCACGTTCTAATTGACGGGAAATTCTTCTCCGACATTATCAACGTCCGCACGTACCGCAGTGCAAACATAGATTCGAACCACTACCTAGTTACAGTATGCATGCACTCAAAACTCTCAACGGTGCATAACACACGTCGAAGTCGAACGCCACGACCCAACATTGAGCAACTACGGGACGCCGGAGTTGCCCAGGATTACGCGCAGCAGCTGGAAGTTGCACTACCCACGGAAGAGCAGCTTGGCGCAGCTTCTCTTGAAGATGGCTGGAGGGACATCCGTTCCGCCATAGGTAGTACTGCTGCAGCGGCACTAGGTACTGCAATCCCGGACCGAAAAAATGACTGGTTTGACGGCGAATGCAAACTGTTAGTAGAGGAGAAGAATGCAGCACGGGCGAGAATGCTGCAACACCGCACGAGATTGAATGTGGAGCGATACAGACAACCGCGGAACAGACAAAACTCGGTTTTCCGAAGGAAGAAGCGGCAGCAGGAAGACCGAGATCGCGAGGCGATGGAAAATCTGTACCGCGTAAACGCGTGCCGCAAGCCGATATGTGCAAGGACTTGGACGGTAACCTTCTCACGAACGAGTGTGAGGTGATTGAGAGGTGGAAGCAGTACTATGACGAGCACCTCAACGGTGAAGCAGCAGAAAACTAAGATGGCACGGCAACAGACCTTGGAGCACGCGCAGAAGACGACAGGCTACCGGCCCCTGATCTTCAAGAAGTTGAGGAGGAGATCGGTCGGCTAAAGAACAACAAAGCAACTGGTGTAGATCAACTACCAAGTGAGCTATTAAAATACGGTGGTGAAGCACTGGCTACAGCGCTGCACTGGGTAATTGCCAAGATTTGGCAGGAGGAGATATTACCGGAGGATTGGATGAAAGGTGTCGTATGCCCAATCTACAAAAAGGGCGACAAGTTGGATTGCTGCAACTACCGCGCGATCACACTGCTGAGCGCCGCCTACAAGGTATTGTCCCAAATTCTATGCCGCCGTCTGCCACCATTTGCAAGAGAGTTCGTGGGGCAATACCAGGCGGGATTCATGGGTGCCCGCGCTACCACGGACCAAATTTTCGCGATTAGGCAGGTTCTGCAGAAATGCCGCGAATACAACGTGCCCACACATCATTTGTTCATCGATTTCAAATCCGCATAGGACACAATCGATCGAGATCAGCTATGGCAGATTATGCACGAGTACGGATTCCCGGACAAACTGACGCGACGATGGATCGAGTGATGTGCGTTGTTCGAGTATCGGGGACACTCTCGAGTCCCTTTGAATCTCGAAGGGGGTTACGGCAAGGTGATGGACTTTCGTGTCTGCTGCTCAACATCGCGTTAGAAGGTGTGATCAGAAGAGCTGGGATAGACACGAGTGGTACGATATTTAGGAAGTCCATCCAGCTCCTTGGCTTCGCCGATGACATTGACATTATGGCAAGGAACTTTGAGATGATGGCGGAAACGTACATCAGACTGAAGGCTGAAGCTAGACGGATTGGACTTGCCATCAACGCATCAAAGACAAAATACATGAAAGGAAGAGGTTCTAGGGAAGACAATGTTAGCCTCCCACCCCGAGTTCAGATTGACGGTGACGAAATCGAGGTGGTCGATGAGTTCGTGTATTTGGGCTCACTGGTGACCGCCGAAAATGCTACCAGCAGAGAAATTCAAAGACGCATTATGGCAGGGAATCGTGCCTACTTTGGACTCCGGACGACGCTCTGGTCGAATAAAATTCGCCGCCGCAAGAAGTTGACTGTCTACAAGACGCTGATTAGACCGGTGGTCCTCTACAGCCACGATACCTGGACTATGCTCGTGGAGGACCAACGCGCCCTTGGTGTTTTCGAACGGAAGGTGTTGCGTACCATCTACGGTGGAGTGCAGATGGATGACGGAACGTAGAGGAGGCGAATGAACCACGAATTGCACCAGCTGCTGGAAGAACCATCCATCGTCCACATTGCACAAATTGGGCGACTACGGTGGGCTGGGCACGTCGTAAGAATGCCGCACGACGACCCAGTGAAAATGGTTCTAGAAAGCGACCCAACAGGAACAAGAAGAAGAGGCGCGCAGTGGGCAAGGTGAATCGAACAAGTAGAAGGTGACCTGCGGACCCTTCGCAGACTACGAGGCTGGCGAACTGTGGCCATGGATCGAGTAAAGTGGAGACAACTTCTTCGGACAGCAGAAGACAACAAGGCCTTAGCCTGATTGGTAAGGTAAGTATAGAGGTAACTCTAAGACTAGTAGGTCCCGAAGAAACGTGCTCAACTTTTTGGCTCAGCTCAGGTACTCTCATCGGCCCCAAGCTAATTTATGCACCCCTCGAAACATTGGAAAATCGATCTCATTTTATCTGTCAAACTTTCATAGCGAATCAAAACTAACATAGTGTAGGCTAGTCAAGTAGTGAGCCAATTTAAAATCGTTAGTTTCCACCGGTTGGTAACACGTTCTGATATCCTTGATCACTGAATATGTTATAATTGAGGTTGAATATGTTAGGAATGTAAATTTTCTGTTCTTTTCATAACAAGCTGTCATTGAACTTTCTAGACCATGTTGTTCTTTCACAAGAGAAACTAGTGTGTGAATTATACTCGTTTCGTTTATACTAAACACATGTTTGCTAATATTAAAATCAAACTTATCATAAACAGTGTTGAAAGCACTCATACATGTATTCACAGGGTTGTTGTGTCCATATATGTTCTATGATGAGTACGAGTATGAGTATGAGTCTAGCATACTGAAAATATATGTCAAGTGTTATTCCAGCTCGAAGATAGTCGAAATCGACCGATTAGGGGTGGCATCGGTCAGTACTTTCTTTCATAACAAAATTAGTCAAGGTTGATAACTAAATGAGTAATTCGGTAACAACTGATAACAAAATAATATCTGGAATAACAAGACTTGTTATCTAGATGATATCAGGTTGTTATTTTACTTTGCTCGGGCGAGTCTGCCAGCGTAACACACATTCAAGAGGTGCGAAAACAAACAAAAAGCCGCGAAAAACTCAATCAGGCGTGATCATCGAAAGACGCGCATTTATTCATCTGATAGGAAGACACATCGAACGGACGGCAGTATAGATCAGCATGGCTGCGATTGGGGCTTTAAACCACATTTTATCATTCCTGTTGATTATTTTCGCCGTCGACGGTAAAATTCTGCATCCAAAATCTGTTTGATCCGGCACATAAATTAATTCTCGAATTCCCACACATTTCAGCTCAACGGATTGCCGAGAAGAGTGAGTATTTCGTTTGGTACCTTATCGAGCTGTTTCTAACCACCTCCAACCAGAATGTCAGGAGTACCGCAATCTGACGGTGATTCGAACCGGAATCATTCCGCTGATCGCTCGACCCGTTGCCATCGTCCACGAGGAGTTCAACTGTTCCAACACGGTGGATGTGATCGTCGGTGGAGAGGAAGCCCACGAAGGTGAGTTCCCCCATCAGGCCCTGCTCGGTTGGAAATCGTTGGATTACGCCACCGAGTATGTTTTTCTCTGTGGAGCGGTGCTGGTCAGCGAGTGGTTCGTGATGACCGCTGGTCACTGTATCGTGGAAGGGGAACGCGGAAAGCCGGCTGTGGTCCGGCTCGGGGAGCATGATTTGGACAACGAATTCGATCATGCTGTGGATTTCGATGTGGATCGCGTCGTTCGTCACCCGCTGTACAAAGCGAGCAGCGTGTACAACGATATCGCACTGGTGAAGGTTAAGCGAGACGTGCGGTTCTCACCGTACATCAGACCGGCTTGCCTGTGGACTTCGGAAACGATCAACTACACGTTGGCTATCGCGACCGGTTTCGGTCAGCTGGGATTTTGTGAGTAGAGTGGAATATTGCTCTCATCATCTAATGTTTAACGTGAAATTGTATGACAGTGGTGGAACCTGCCAGGAAACTCAACAAGGTGAAACTGGAAATTTTCGAATCATGGAAGTGCGACCGGGCGTTTGAGAGGAATCGCAAATTTCGGAACGGTATGGTCGCTTCGCAGATCTGTGCTGGAAGCGAGGGCAACCGCGATACCTGTAAGGGTGACTCCGGAGGGCCGCTACAGGTGATGGTGGAGGAGAAAGGATGCACTTATCACGTGGTGGGGCTGACGTCCCGAGGACAGGATGCTTGCGGATGGATGAATCCTCTGGCGATCTATACGAGGGTTTCGTCGTTTGTCAGCTGGATCGAGTGGGTCGTTTGGGGCGAGGACTGGGTGGCGTGGGAATAAAGTAATGGGAAGCGATTTTGGATTTGTTTTGAACTGAGGCAGTGTGATAATTTCCGAGCCGAAAATCATTCTAGAAATCAGAATCCAGTGAGTAAATTAACTCTTGTTTCCTTCTCTCTTTTCACCCAACCCACGGTTCGCTTGTTTTGGATGCAGCGGACGTTTGCGTATCGAAAAAAATCGCATAGCGTTATATTAATTTAAAAACACATTCAAGAGGTGAGAAAACAAACAAAAAGTCGAGAAAAGATCAATCAGTCGTGATCATCGAAAGGCACATCGAACCGACGGCAATGGATCAGCATGGCTCCGATTGGAGAAAGTTTTGATTTTTAATTTATGTGGAAGGGTCCTTCTACTCACCTGTCGTACGGCAAAGTAGCATGTCAAATTCCTCGGGTAGACGCCCGGAAAGTTGGGCGACTGCAGCCGGCAGGCCTTCTTATCACAGTTGGTGAAAATCCTGGAGCAGTAAGTCCCCTGCATTAGGTCACCTGTGGCCGACAGAAAAGGAAACGCTTTAAGGAAAAGTTACGATACACGAAGTATAACATCAAAGTGGGTCATACACACACACACACACTCGTTGAGAAATTGCACTGGGCGTCTGTCTTTTGGTTGGAATTTTCAATTAAATGCAATCCTCTTATACCCAGCCGGACCGGGGCTCAAGCTTTATTCAGAGAGCACCCCATTCAATTCACCGCAGACATTCGTCGTCGAAATGAAACGATTCATTACCTAGATAGTAGTTGGGCTCGGTGTAGTTCTCCGCACCACCGCTGCCGGGTTGGAACGCGAGGGAAGTAAGGTTCCTAATTGAATACGGTCGTTCACGGTTTTGGTTCTGGAAAAGGCTGTTGCCGGCCCCGCTATCGAACGAACCGGCATAGCCCCTTCCGGATGAGTTGTCGAAGCTGAGCTCCATTGATCCGGACGGCGAACGCTGTCCACTGAACTGCTTCTCCGAATGGGCCGTCGAGTTGGTGAAATCGTCAATTATCGGATAATTGGGAATGTAGCTGACGTTGGTCCACGGTGCGATGGGTTCGTGCTTGATGCCCCCGTACCGGACGACGGCGCTGACACGCGAGAGCATTTTGTACTTTATCCGAAAGTCGAAGTTGTAGCCACTTTGATCTCGGGACAGCCTGTGCGAGGTGAGAAGGAGGAATGTGAGACAGTGACAGTGACTAATTGAACGAGAAATGCAGCGAACGGGCCTTACTTGAGCAATTTAACGGTCATTACGAGCGAACGGGTCTCGCTGAAGAACGTTGCCGGTCCCCAGGTCGTGCCGCACCACATTCCGCCGACGGGCGTACGATGTGCTTCCGCCACCTGTAGGTACCCGTCCGGGCAGCCATTCTCCGTGTACGATACGAACTTGCCCAGTGTGAAGCTGTCCAGAGTGATCTGCAACAAAGGGGGAAAATTTACTGGCATTTAATTACATTAAACCGCACATTATAATATGATTATAGTTCCCCTGATCGAAACCCTAAATTACTTCCCTTATGCCTTTCATGCTTTATCTATTCAGTAGAAAGTCACATCACGATACCAATGACATTGCAATCAATCAGCATTCCTACCCCTCCAAATGTTATATATTTCTTCATCCCCATCATGGCCTATTGTGTCGCCGTGCGTGCGTTGAATCGCATGACAAACGGCCTACTCGGATAAGGCTCAAACAAACAAGTTGTTCCTCAGCTTCTTCAATTTTCAGGATTCTCCCCCTCAGTTAACTGCGGCTGATTCGCATCTTGATTGCTTCATCGAATGTACGTAACGCCTATCAGCTTGGTTTGGATTTTCTTTATTTTTCCGGTGTGTAGGGTAGACAATGCTTTCATTTCCGTCATAGAGCATTTCCAGGCCAAATGACAAATCGGAAAAACTCGACCATCTCCGATTTGCACGGAACTTGGAATAATTTTTTGTTTTGAAAGAAATTCGGCCATTTTGCATCCTGTCAAATTTTCTAAATGGCATGCATGCAATAAAAATAAAGATCTAGTGCGGAACCGGGACTTCTGAATCATAAGTTCTAATTTAAATGACGTCGTAGGCAACATCGTAGATAACAATAATGTTTCTGTTGGATAAATATATAAAAGAATGTTTTTAGTCATTTCAAGAACAAATTTAAAAAAAAAATATATTTAAAACACCTGAATATCGCAAAATGTCCTTGCTCGATTTTTTAAATAAAAAAAAAGACTCGTGAAAAATGCAAACTTTTGGAATGTTTTAAATTACCAACACTTTAAAATTGACAAAATTCATAGAACAAGAACTTAGGGTAAAATTTTTGAACTTTTTGATAAAACATTTTATTTGGGAGTAGCCTCTTCCTACCCTAACTACGCCACTGCCGCCAGTATGGCTACACTGAAACAAATTCGTATGTACGGTTTATTGGATTTGTCTTCTAGCATAGCAATGTCAGAAGGCTCTATGTGGTGATTGATAGATTCAATTGGATTATCAGTTAAAAACTGCGACTGGAATGATTTCTACCGTAATTTCACACACTTAGTACATGACATTCCTTTGCTTTGATCGTGGTTAGCGATGGGTAAGATGTAAATGAATATTGTCCGATATATGTTATAGTGAGTTTGCTCTACAAAAAAATCCAGTTAAAAAAACTTGTTTTCGTGATAAATATCGCCCACTAAAATATATATCTTATAGAACGATCCTGTATATTTTATTGGAGTAGCTTTTAACGATTTTTGATGTTTTTTTTTTATATGTCTAGCGTGTAAACAGACATGTAGAAACTATGGGACTGTCATTTTTAGTTTGTACTATAGGAAAACCCAATAACAAATGATTGTTTTTGGGATAAATACTGCTCGCTAAATAGTCATCATGTATATCTCATTGGAATAGCTTCCGACGATTTTGGCGTTTGCAGATGGTAAACAGATCTATCTCAATCATGAGATAGCCATATACATTTCATCAATCAATTTAGAAGATATAAATGTGCCTTTTTAAGAAAACCAACAGCAAATATTGGCATAATTTTCGGGATGAATATTGCTTCCAATAAATACATCAATCATTGTTCTGCATACATTATTGAAATAGTTTGCATCGAACCAATACTGGGTAAACATTTTTCTCAGTGTGCCTCAGGTGTGCCGGCAGTGCTGCGATTTTTTGACAAATACGAATATTATGGTATATTTGGCAGCCGACAACCGAAACCCGTTGGATGCGATAGTTGAACGGCCCCGAAAATGGATTCCTTCTACCGACGAATAAAACGCCTCTACGCCAACTTTAAGGAACCAGAGTCTTCCCATGATGATTCGCTGCAGAAGGTGGTTTACATTCCGACAGCAGTCGGCGTAGGCGAGGAAACCATCTACAGCAATTCCTAAGAGGAAGAGGAGACAACTGGCTTCTTGTTGTCTGTGCCATGTTTTTATTCTCTCCGGAAACGACAAAGAAATAGATTGCCTGACCTGGCTTCTGGGATAAGAGCTGACCGATACGATTACGGTGCTGTGCGAAAAGTCCAGTTTTTCCTGACCAGTAAGAAAAAGATGGACTTCTTGAAGCAGATCGAGAAGGACGGTGAGGAGGGCATTCCGTCGGTGAAGCTGTTGGTTCGGGATAAGAACGACAAAGACAAGGCCAATTTTGAAAAGCTGCTGGAGGCGATCAAGGGATCCAAGGATGGCAAAACGTTGGGCGTCTTCTCCAAGGACAACTTCCCGGGTGAATTCTGTGAATCGTGGCGAACCTTTGTCAAGGACAGGAGCTTCGACACGGTAGACATCAATGTCCCAAACGAGTACATCATGTGCTCCAAGGAGGACTTATCACCACCAAGAAGGCGTGCCTGGTAACGGTAGACGTACAAGTACCTGAAGGATCACATCATGGAGATTATCGATGCTGATAAGAAAGTAAAACTTGCCAAACTACCGAAGGGTGTCGAGCAGGCTCTGACGGACAAAGGGTACATCTCCGGTGTGGATATCAACTATTTGGAAAAGGTGCTACCCAGCCATTATCCAGTCGGGTGGTAATTACTGCTTGAAGTTCAGTGCATTCAGCGACAAGAACTATCCGCACTTCCGATCGATCATCTGTGCTCTGGGTGCGCGTTACAAGTCCTACTTTTTTATATATCTGTATTAAGGAGACTTTCAGCTGGTTCGTCTTCGCCAAGTTCTACTGCTCCAATGTCGTCCGAACGTTGCTGGTCAACCTAACGGAAACGATTCAGAAGCACTGCACCTTTCTGCTCAATCTGGAAGAGGAACTGCTGAATGAGATGATTCCGGGCAAGAAGCTCTCAGAGGTTTTCGACGTCGGAATGGATTATGCCGAGAAGGAGGATCCCAAGCTAAGACGTTCGGTTTTGCCAGCGGGTTGGAATTCCGGGAGCATTTTATCGTAGAACCTTAACCAGTGAAATTCGGTTTAAAAATTGCAAGCTAATTAGGTTGAGTGGAAGCAGTGTGATTGTGCAGTAAAAAAATAGTTCGGTATTGTTCAAGTCAAGTGAGTATGGCTTGATAAATGACAAATTGACCGATTGCTGGGGATTTGCTGCTGAAAAGAAGGGTGTGGCCTTGTAAGGACCCTACATTTCAGCAGCAAATCAACGTTTACATTCTGTGATCAATGTTTCCAGGTTGCAATTTACTTCCGCATTCGCTTCGAATTTTGAGAGTAATCTCGTTCGGATGTCCACGTATTTTGAGGAACGAAGCCCGCAGATAAAAATCAAATTCTTGAACTGATCGGCTGTCATCTTGTTCAACTCGAAATCTTCACAGCGCTTGTTAACTGTTCCCGCGTACGTGACAAAATGATCAGCGACGTTTTTCGTCAGTTGAAAGCAAACGAAAATTCACGATGATGCTGTGGTAGTACGACATTTACATACCGATCGAAAACGTTGACGCTGAGGCTTCGTAAAAGTAATCTAACTTTCGCTGCATCGTCCAATTTTACGCAATCTTTCTGGAAAAGATCTTCATATTTTTGATACCACCGCACAGTGGGTAAAATTTGATAAAACCGCGACTAAATTGAATATCTCGGTTGACAAAGAGTTTCAGTCAACATGTTATACATATTCTCAACGGAAAAACTCTGCTGAATCGATTGGTGGTGGTTTCATTGGCCTTTTGCGTACCGAGATAGAGGGCCGGGATCAACCCGAGTTCTTGGTAAAGTAGACATAATTTTAAGCTTTACTTAACGTATATTACTGGAAATTGATAGTACTAAGTACATATATATGGTGTCAATACACCATATACGCCCTCAGGGAAACTCTACTGGCCTAAAGGAGGATTCGGAACGACCGATAATGTGGCCACATGATAAAAATGGTCCTAGACCTTTGCGGTTTATCCATATTGTTCAAAATCACGAGATCAAAGCGTATTTAGCTTGGAATAAATATTTTGGAATAAAGTGGCCATATCCTGGTTACCTAGATAATCTGGATTGACCGATAAAGTGGCCACATTATAAAAATTGTCCTAGAACCTTGCGTTTTTTCTATGTTTGTTCAGAATCATGACATCAAAGCGCACTGTGCACGGGATTTGAATCCATCCGGATTTTGGCACATGGTTTGCCACCCGGAACTCAAGAAGCTATGAGAAATTTAATTTGATGTTGAAGATGATCCTGATAGCTTCGTTTTCCGATAGCAGTTCCCTTTCCCTGACATCGAACGTCTAACACATCTTGAGCATCGGAGCTGGTCCCTTCGGGGTGTTCTCTTACGGTACCCGATGAGATCCTACGAGGTGGAAAGCCGTTTCTTCGACGGGAAATTGCTGTGGCTTAGAAAATCATCTCCACGGATGCCACATTCGAGGGCAAGAGGTATCAATCCGTTAGCATTTTAAACCGGTGATTTCATTGTTGTTGTATTTTCTATTGTATATAATGTGGTTATCATGACCTTTATCTGACCGCAGATGTACAATTTTCATTAGAAAAATTTAAAAATTGAAGTAATGAAAACTTGATTATTTCACCGATTCTGATGACGTCACACAGAACACGACTGGAGCGGAGTAGCTACTCGCTACAGACTATCGCTTATATCATGTAATATAGGCTGTCTTGCAATGAGCACTCATACATAGGATTACTAAATCTAATCTAACACCAACATGAAAGCATCCTGGAAAATGATTAATATACCTCCACAGACAAACAGACATAACACATTGAATATTTACTAAAATCAAAACGCAATTATTTTTTCGGAGCCGTGAACTTTCCCTTAACTGGATATCTGTGTGTGTGTGTGAGTTTGTATCTTCACGGCAGCTGACTAGAGTTCAACAGTGGAAACTGAGTACTGCGAACTAACTCAAAATGCTTGTCATCTGGGAACCGAGTCGAACTGTCAAACG